CCTTTTACAAACCCAAAAGTAGATCCACAGCCGAAAAAACCTGTTTTTTCCCCCCCCCCCCCCCAACAACTTCATACTGTTAATAAAGTAGAGCTTAGTGTTGGCTAAAGAGGGAGGAGGTAAGTCAGTGGACTCCTAGTCCTAGCTTGGAAAAGTCTGGAAGGTTGCATCAGAAAAGAAACTTATGGATCACAAAGGACAAAATTAGAGAGGAAAAGCTGAAATAGTTTGGACATGTGCAGAAGAAAGGTGGATCTGGTGGACAAAGGACGTTGGAAATGGAGCTGGCTTGGAAGAGGGGGAAAAAAGAAGAAAGGCAGCTGCGACAGAGGAGAATGTTAAGGACAGGGTGGATAATCTGCTGGGGAGAAATCTAAAGGAAGCAGCCAGGGAGAAAATGGCAGCACTGTTGGCAAAAAAAAAAAAAAAAAAAAAACTATGAAGGCAGCCACTCTGCACAGGTAATCGTTGTTCTGTTTTAGTTTAGTAACAAAACAAAAGAAAACACAAAACTCTTTAAAACATTTGTTCTCAGTGAAACATACTTAAAAACAATTACATTTCAAAGAATCACTTGTCAAAAAAAAAAAACTAATACAGAAGTATACGTATGGAAAAAATAGCTCTCTAAATATAGAAACAGAAAATGATTGAAAAAGAAAAATCAATAAACTTGAGAACATTGGAGATTTACTTCAAGTTTGACCTTTGTTTTCTTTTTTCTCTTGAGAAAAATCACTAACATGCATAAGTCAGTAACAATATCGATTTCTTTCAGTATAGTCCTGGGTAATCCCTGTATTATATAAACCTAATTTGAATTTATAAAATAGGTAAAAATAGCTTAAAATACAACAACTTTCCCATTGATTTTTATATATCTTCAGGTTGCATCCCTTTTCTTTTCTGACAGCAGTATTCAGTTTGTCATTACATATTCCATTTGACCTGAAACAAAGTGCCTCTTTTCTTAATCTAGACTTTTAACGTGAACATTTAGAATAATATTAACTTATCCATATTTCTGCTACAGTCTTGTTTTTCTGTTTTGGCGTTATTTACCGTTATTACGTTTGCATTTTGTGTAGAAGTGTATTAAGGTCCAAACTCCACTTGCATCCAACTTTTTCTGCATTCTGATAACATTTTTTTTATCTGGCTCTGACGCAACGCTCCGTCAACGCACCAACGGACTCGTAAGAGCGAGTAAGTTTGTACCGGAAATGCTCACCAGTGTAAACATCAACTTAATAAAGAATGTTGACATTAAACCCAGTGTTTTAATTGCTGTGTATGTCATCCGGCCTGATTTTTCCATTGGATCTGACACCAAAACAGATCCGGTGTGTTTTGGCCCTGTTCCAGCTTTCGGTTTTTCCGACTTTTGCTTTTTAATATCTTCCTCCTGTTTAGCTGCAGGGTTCCCTTTGCTTTCTGTGGATCAACCATGTACAGCAGCTCTTAAAAGTCTTTTTGTAGAACTTATGAATTATGTTTGAGGGTTTAAATGTGTGCTTTTTCTAAATGATCGAAAATTAACCCATTAATCGATTTTATTACCTACATATGAGGCATGTTTTACAAAGCATGCATGTTCACATGATTAATCCAAAGTTTGACATCACTCTCTATATAGCTTTTTTTTTTAATTTAAGACATGTTCTTAGATATTTTACATTTGTGTGTGTACATATACATTTATTCTTACTTTTCTTATATGATTTACACACATTAACATACAATAACTTAATGACCACCTCTAAAGGTGACTTTCGAATCACTCCACAATCTTGTATCTGTGTTATAACACAGCAGCACAATCTGTCACATCTACCTTTCAGACGGTTAAAAGTAAGCCTTTTCATTCTCTGCTCTGCCTTGTTTTTTTTTGGGGGGGTTTTTTTATGATGCTGCTCCATTCTCAGCCACTTCCTCGCAGCCATTGTCTTCCTCCTCTCAATTTCTGTTTTGAATAAATGCTTTTCTTCTTTTTCTGCGGGGTTTATTAGCTTCTGTTCAAAGGCTCGCTGCTCTCATTGATTCGTTACCATGGAATTGGAAGATAAAAAGTGTATCACCCTAATTTGTTGGATGCGGGGAGAAAATTCAATTACCAGTGGCCATGAATACGTCAGGTGTACTTTGCTCACCTTGTCATAAAAACCGGCTTCGCTTTGCCCGATGACGCGGCCGTCCTGCGCAGACACCATCACTCTGCTGCGCAGGGAGGGAGGCAGAAAGGACTCCAGGGTTTTGGCCAGCCAGTCCCGTCTGTGAGGATCTGGCTCATTACAGCAGAGAAGAGCTGCAACATAAAACAGGCAGAATTAGTGATTACCCGTAGTTAATAGGATAGGAAACGAGTTGATCATTGCAGGAGCTCTGCAACACATTTCAGCATTAGGGTTTTTGTGGAAGGCTCTCGTTGTAAAACACCTCAAATAATACACAGGAATTAGGATTTTCTTGCATTTAATTGGTAATAAATAAGCTCTAAACATGACAAATTTTCAGCAACAATCCATTTTTATTGTAATAATTAATCAGTGCAGATAATAATGCACGAATCGTTTTTTTTTTTTTTTATTTCAACATATTAATCTCTTTTGACTGCACTCCTGCTAACCCTTGTCCGTGATATATAATGAAACTCCTGTCATAGCTGCTTGTTTACCTGGAGTTGCACTTTGCATTATGGCGACAGCTTTGCCTCCGGGGGCAGAGCACAAATCCAGGACCTTATCACCATCTCTCACTTGCAAAGCCAGCACAGGAAGAAGCGAGGCAGCATTCAGGAGGTAGTACTGCTTCAGCTGGCCAGGCCGGTGGGTCGGGGAGGGAAATCGCACGGGGTGTGGGTGGATGTAACACTGTAATGAGGAAGGAGGAAATTTGGGTGGACGCTCAGACTGACGGGCCTGACTGAATGCATGAGAGGTAATGTAGGGCAGGAGACCAACGTCCTCAGGAGGGCGTTTTGAGAAATGAGGTGAGAGAGTGTCTTTTCCCTCCTGACGTGGAGAATTAGACACAGCAGAGTCACTGTTATGAAGCAGCTCCGAGACGTCCGTTTGTGGGAGCATTGATGAAAAGCCCTGAGACAGAAGAATCTGTGTGATAGCCGTCACGGAGCTGAAGCGGTTTAACATGACCCCATACTGCCAGGACGGAGGGTCCAGCAGCACTGCTCTGCAAGACAAAGGGGAAGACGAGAACGATGGTTTTATCTACTGATCGGGAGAACGTTGGTAAATCATTCAAGATAAAATTCACCTTGCAGAGGCCCACAAGTCTCCCAGTTCTTCGCTGTACTGCTGGTCAAAATGATTGAGGACTGCTGGAGATGGCTGTCTCCTGCTTTTACCCGTGTTTCTTATCTAAAAAACAAACAACAAAAAAAACATACAGACAATAAAAGAGAACATCCACTACAATGTTGGCAATCTAGATAAAGGTCTTCACAGAAGTTGGCCTGGTAACATGGTGGCACCTAAATATGTCTCCTTGATACGATTCTCTTCACACTAAGAGATGGAGATCATTTTTTTCCGCACTCTGTCCTCCTGTGTGTGATAGCAAAATACATGTGGGATTTGTCTTATTTTGCTCTGGTTGCAGATATTTTCTTTTTAGCGGACTATGAGCTATTTTCTTAAACTCATTTTGTGAATTATGCATTTATTCTTTTGAGGTTAGTATGACGTTTTTATAATTTTTGTATTAATCCGTGTTCTTCTCAATCAATGTCTCGTCTTTGCCTTTTCTGTTCACATTATGCCCTTTTAAAAGATGCATTTTATAAGGACTAAACCGAAATAAAGATGGTTACTGTTTTGCATTGCGGAACCAGTGCAAATCAATCTAGCCTTGATCGTGTATTTTTTATAAATAGTTTACAATGAAAACACACGTACTTCAGGTTTGAAGTTAATATTATGTTGCTTATTTCCAGGCTTAAACATCGTAATGCACCAGCGCCTCCTGGTGGAAACGGAGACTAAAAAACTCTAGGAAACAGCGGACACAACAAAGGTACAGAAATGCTTGAAAAAAAGGAGCAAAAACATCTAAAAGTACAAATTTTAACTTCAATTTTAAACTTCAGATCAAATATATCCCTTAGAAAGACTTGATAATTTAACAAACTGACTTGTTACATGCGCTGTTACAAAGACAGTATATCACCTTAAACTTTTACTTTTAAAACTATTAAAATTAACACAGTTCGTCAAAGCCGCTCATGCCGATTACCTTGTTTTTCAGAGATCGTTGCTGTTTGTTTTGCCATAAAGAACCATCCGGACCAGGCCGACAGGGAAACGAAGACAGCCACCGCAGAAATGTCCCTGCTGTTCTGGGTTCCAGACAAATATTCCTCCTCATGATGTAAAGGCACCGAACAGGAAGCACTGTTGAAACCTCGACATGCCATGAATTTACTAAATGGTCGCTTTCATTTAAATCTTTTGGGGAAAAATAGGTGACCCCTGAATGGTACGTTCATTAAATTCGTCCCCCATAGCTGTACAAAACACAGTTCCATTTCGAATTAATCGGACATAAGTTATCCAGTATTTTATATTAGCTATCGTTTACGTGCATTTAATCGTAAAATAATTTCTTGAATTAATTCGGAATGTTTTATCATAGATGTTCGTATTGTGCGTTTGTGAAATTCTGTCGCTAAAAATCAAGAAAAATTGAGCGAATCTGAAAACTGGATCTGCATGAACCAACATTTCGTTGAAAATGAAATATGCGCAGTATTCTGTTGTCTTGTGTCTACATACGTTTAAGTAGTTTACTTTCAGCACAAGACGAAAAGGCAATTTTCACTGAGATTTTTTTTTCTCTTAAGGTTAAATCTTCATTTTTCAAAACTAAGGCAAATAAGTGTCATGTTTTTTTTTTCCTCACCGACATTTTCATGGTTGCCTGTTGCTGCCCCACTCAGTATGGTTGAAGCCTCGTCACTAATGACCACTATGGAAAGCACATTAGTATAATTTTCTGCCTTAAACTTTTCACTTTTGTGTTTTTATGATGTAAAGAAGGCACTTTGAACTGCCTTGTTGCTGAAATGTGCTATACAAATAAACTTGATTGATTTAAGACATGTTTTTCTTTTCTATACTAAATGGCTAGAAAAACCTGTGCACATTGCTCTCATTCTTTCGCCTTGTATGTCTGTGTGCTGTGGATACTTGAAATCTGAAGTTTAATTTGTTGTACACATAATCTTGGCCAATAATGCTGACCGATTCAGTCACATGAAAACCCGTAAGAGGAAGCGGAGGAGTATCTTTGGTATCCTACACCAGGTTTATGAAAAACACAAGAAACAAATGAAGAATTAAGTGTTTTACTTCCATTACAGGCTGCATGTTTGCTGCCAAACCTTTCAATTAAATACACAGTTTAGACCCATCATGACAATGATTTGAGTTTAGCAGAGAACCTCAACATCAGGTTAGCAATCTTCCAATAAACACTGATAAGATTTAGACAAAATGAGCTGAAATCATCCTTTTATTCCAACTGCTGACTCTTGTCAACATTATGATGTGTCCTTTACATGGTCCGTGTTACATGGTCCATGTAAACACGGACCATGTAAAGGTCCGTGTTTACATGGCACAAGGTGCCATGTAAACACGCACAAGGTGTTTACATGGCGAAAAGGATGAGGAATGCAACCATCAGACAGAAGAGACCCATAGCTTCAGACAGAGCAAAGCCCAGGATGGCATAAGAGAACAGCTGCTGCTTCAGAGACGGGTTCCTGTTGAGAAAATGGGGGAAAAACAGGAGTCAAATGTAATTAAACTACACCTTAATAGTTTAGAAAATAGAATATTTCTTATGCCCATTTTTCTTGACCAAAAAAGAGCTACTAAATGACAAAGAAATATTTTCGCAATTCCTGATCTGCAAGACTGTAGTCACAAGGATTTGTGATCCTACCCAAAAATGGATACCAAGTACTGAAGCTTCTATCCAGAGTATGAACATTTATTTAGCTTTTATAGAAAATGTACAATTCTAAACTCGCAACAGAGGAAAGCTGAAAAACTTTGAACCACAAAATATGTCTCAATAGATTCTTGGCCAGGAAAATATTTGCTAAGGTCAAAACAGGCCTAGATAGAATTTTATGAAGCACAACATGTAGTAAGCATTAAAAACATCCTTAAGACATACCTAGCATATCCAATAATAAGACTGCCGAACACAGTTCCAATACCAGCTCCAGATCCAGCCACACCAACAGTGGCAGCTCCTGCTCCGATGAACTTTGCAGCTGTGTCAATATCACGACTCACAGCACTGGTCTGGAATCCCCGCACTGCCACCTGCTGCTGGGAGGCTGCAGGACTTGGTGGTGCCAGGAGTGAGGCAGTCTGCCAGTGTTTTAGAAAACATAAAACAAAAACCTATATTTACACAAAACTCCACTTAGTCTTTTTAGGCAATTTAGAAAAGGTAAAATGTCATTTCAATGCACCCGTTTTGTTTTTGTAGTTCTAAATATACTAAAAATGGAAACAAGTGTTTAGCATCTCATCTAAGGTTTTGATCTGGATGAGGATTAAAGCCAACTCCTAATATCCTGAATGGAATGTATTAAAATAAAAATCTGCAAGTTGTCTTATAAGTTGTCTTATGTTAGTCTTGATTTATTTAAATAAGATTAATCAGACTGAAAATAAGCCACAAATGACATCAGACCTTATTCTTCAGGTTGCATTAGCCTTAGCAAAATGAAATGGAGGCATTTTGTCTGCCTCTGCTATCAAACTCAAACCAGAGACGCACAAAGGATTTTTAAACTTTAGCAAGGTTCAGGTAATCTTACATGCTAATGCAGAGGTGGCATTTGTTTCAGCTTAAGTATTTATTTTAGCTATAGAAAGCTAAAAGCAAACTTAATATGTTTTACATAATTCCCAAAGGAAAAATGCATCTACCACCATGTATTTAAATGTTAAGTGTCCAGTTGTTTCATTCAAATCTCTGCCTGAGTAATGAATCATTCCCCACCAATTCTTGTACAGTACTCCATTTACTCTTCTTGCACGTGAAACCACAGTAAATTTGCTATGATGCGTTCTCACTGCCCAAATAGCCTGTGCATCAAGACTGTCCTCACCTCTGCTTTCCTGCTGTCAGACACGACTGCCGCTGAGAGGGGTCTGTAAAGCGCCCGGGATCCAGCACGGACCTGTGAAGGAAGAGATTGATAAAAAACTTAAAAAGTAATAGAAGACCAATATGCAAGGTTAGATGAATGACATCTTTATTTCAAGACAGACTAGCAATAAATGTTAACAGTTTCTTGTCTTTTTATTCTGTTAAGATGATTGGTTTACTTTTTATTATCATTTCTCCATTTGTCTTAATGCGTGATCTTCAACCAAAAAATCAAAACTGTGAAGGCTGAGAATGACAAAAAAAAGACATTTTTTCACTAAAAAGCTTTGTCAGGTGTTGTGTTTTTATTTTTTTAGCTTTGTTTTGTTTTCCCCAATTTTTGTTGTCGCTCATTTCAAATGAAAATCCCAACGTAGCACTGGGTCTCCAAATTAACTGCTTGGTTGCTAGAGGACGTGTGTAAAATTATTAAACTAAAAAAAAAAAAAAAATTATTTAACCAGAGTTTTCCATTTTCATCTGGCCTTAATTCGTTAAATTGGTAGTAACACCCTCGTTTTACCGTCCAATTTAAATATACACATCCAAATATATTAATTCGTAAATTAATTTAACCCACGAATAGCAACATTGACCAAAAGTTACTTTGGACCAACTGTTCCAACAACAAAACTTGTAACTCGAATTGGGCCTTTTCTTTACGTCATACATTTGCTTTGGTTGCATGTACAGTATGTTTATATCAGTCTAAACTTATAAACAGCGATTGTCCGTGTGGCTAAATAGACGGGTGGTGATTTGGCCTGAGTGAAACTGCTTCGTCCTTGCAGGTGTGAGCTCAGCTGACTTTAGCAGAGGGTCAAAGCCAGCTCGGTGGCAGGGTGTTAGCAGCGTTAGCTGCATAGTAGCTAGTGACCGTTCTGTCCTTACAGACAGCAAACAACACACCTGCTTTCTGTCCCGCTCTGAAAAGGCGCTGTTTAGCGTTTGCAACTTTGATTAGACGCCATTCATTCAAGTGTACTCACCAGAGAGGGCGTGGAGACGAACTTAGCACAGGCATACATCACGATGTATCGTTTGGTTCAGATGAGGCTGAGCAGCCAGTGGATATTTAATGTCTGCAAATAAAATAAATGAAACTATTTAAAGCTTATATCAATGAGTCAGCTTCGTTTGGTGAATGATTAGACTAATCATTCGGCTTGAGCCGACACGCAAAAAAGGTCAAGCTCGGATGCAAAGACCGAACAGTGTTACAGGAAGAAGATGGTTACTAATCAACAAGAAGAAGCACTGCAGCAGATAATACAGCCGGAAAATGTCGAACAAAAAGCTTATAAAAGTAATTGAATCTCAATTTCTCAGGAGGAGGGTTAGCACTCACCGGTCTGTTGTAGAGGTCGAACAAACCAGAGGTAGGCGCATGCGCAAGTTTCGACTTGTCTTATGGGTTTTCGGTAGACAAACGGCATGAAGAGCTCACTGCTGCCTCCAACAGGTAGGCTACTAAATTACATGACCTATTTATGTTCTCCGAGATATCAAGAGGCACTTTGTAGAGAAAGATTAACATAAAATAACAGACATATCTAATAATAATTAAAGCAAGCAATGTAAATAATTAATGTATTGAATTACACAAGGGCGTTTTCTGTTACAGTCGTTTATAACTTGGCATAAAAGCTTGGAGGATAATAGAGCAAGCTTGTGCTGCTGTGCAGAAAACTGTCTATGAGTTTAGTTTTTTCTGTAATTTCTCATCCAGTTATTGTATCTTTCAATATTTTACTCAGTGCACTTAAACAATATAAAAAGGGGGAGAAAAAGGTTGCGAACATGTCCTGGAATCCAAAAAGTATTTTGTCGGATGTTCAGACGAGACTAAAGACATAAAAATCACTAATGCAAACTCTGAACACAACACATACCTACATTGTTGTACTGAATAGCTTGAACATATGTTTGAAAAGCCAAATGTGGCCTTCATGTGACATTTCTTTTATCTTTCTGTCTCTGCATAAAAGACTACTGTGCGTTTCAACATAGTCTGCCACAAGATGGCAGCAACACAATATAGGTGAATTTTCCAAACTGGCGCGATGGTAAGAGATCACCAGAGAGAAATGTATTAGATTCCTTTTTGATCATTAGAATTTGCAGCCTAAATTGACATATTTTGATTCCTGGCATGGATCAGTTTTGCTCTTGCAAGGTCAGGCTAGACAAGTAACAGAGACTGCAGCTGCAGGTTATGCTACTGCAGCGTTTCTGTCATTTTTGAAACAGGTGGTGCCTGGGGATGAATGAGAATTAGCTGCTACGTGTGGAGAATTTCTATGTGGGTAAAATCTGTGGCATGTTTATATATAGCTACCTCATGAGAAATTGATTTATTTATTTTTTCCTCCAGTGCGCACGTTTATTTGGCCATTTTAACTGCAATACTATTAAAGAAACAAAACACTGATCATGATACTTTGTTAAACCTAACATTTGAGTCATAACAAGCACATATACCCGAAATATTACGCTCGCGAGTAAGGTTCATCTTGATTTCACAATGAAGATTGAAATTTCATGCACTTTCATTAAAAATATTAACTTCGCCCACAATTTGCTTTTAGATGTGGTGTTCAGCTTGCACATCGCAGAAAACTAAACACGTTCCAGCAAATTTCACATTTCTTTTATAGCTTTTATGCAAAACGTGCATGCCTCCCGCTTTAAGTGGGCATCCCCTCTTAAAAAATGCATCTCTGGCCGCCCCCTCATCTGTGAGCTCCATTTGGTGCTGCGGAAGGGAGATTCCTCAGCCTTTCCAGTCATACACCCCCTCCTCCGCGTGATGTTACCGTTACGCACCACCATAATAAATGGAGACGTGACTCTTCTGGGCGAATCCTTGCCGACGTCACTCCCGCTTGATATAAAGAAGCCCGAGCAGCAGCTCTGGACAGACTAAAGCAAAAGCGCGTTTTTGACTGCAGCGAATTTCTAAAGCGAGGATTACAGGATTGCTATTGTTGGATTTATTTATCAGCCAAGGGTAAGTGTGTTTTTAAAGCAAAAGAAAATGTGAAACTTTAATGAATTGCCATGTACAAATCAGCCATTTTATCTCATCGCATGACATATTTTATTGCCTGAGCGTTAAAATCTCTTTTCTATCCATCGTGTTTAAACTTTGTTACTGTAAACGTGATTCACAATTCGCATATTTACGCATGGCGCTTCTACCCCACAGACCCTCTGTACGCACACAATGACTCTGAACAAGGGTGACAAATTCCGTAACATGGATAAGAGGAGAGGAAGCGTTCCGTTCCCAATGAACCTTCCCAACCTGCACAGGAGAAGCATGCCCGTGGACGACCGGGATCTGCGCGCCACGACGCCGCAGACGGGGCAAACCGACGAGCTTTCCAACCTACTGCGCTGCACGTCCTACTCCCCGACCGACGAGCACCGAGGCAGCTGCGCCTCGGACTCTTCTGACTCGGTGATCTCCACCGGGAGCGAGACAGACTCCCAGGTCTACAAGGTGGTCCTCCTCGGGGAGCACGGGGTCGGCAAGTCCAGCCTGGCGCGCGTCTTTGGAGGGCTTGAGGACGCCGGTCACGACTGCGATGAAGCAGGTACATGGTGATGCCAAGAATGAGTCATCAGCCTACATTTATATACACTACACACACTCACCGAAGACTTTCATTGATACGTTAGTGTGAGACAATTGTGTGGTTCTTTCAATGCACTTAAATTTGTGAGAATGGGGAAATAGCTGTTAAATAAAATGATCAAGTAAGTGTAAGGCACCATTCATTTCAAATTAACAACACAGAAACGTCTTTATTTCAGACGTCTCTAACGTCTAGTCTAATTCTATATTTTGTGCTGCCATTGAGCTTCACTGAAAACACATGAAGTATATATTTCCATCTTTGAGTAGAATCGCACACCTAACATTATAGCTTAAGGGGAAAATATAGAAGACAATATTTGCAGGCATGACCAACATTTTCCTGAAATATTGAGAGAACTAAAACAATTTCTGACGAAAAATAAGTCACATAGATAACAGATAAGATTGCTCTGCTGCCAGAATGTATCACAATATTTATCCCTTCTCCCCTCAGGAAATACTTATGACAGATCTATTTTTGTGGACGAAGAGGAGGCTTCCATTTTGCTCTATGACATCTGGGAGCAGGTGAGCATTATATATTATTAATGCAGTGTCTCTCCATCCCACCCCCCACCATTGACGGATATCTTATTTGTAAACTGGCCAAGACTAACATTGGTTTCTGGTTTCTCTTCTGAAGGATAATAGCCAGTGGCTAAAGGAGCAGTGCATGAGGATGGGAGACGCATACATCATCGTGTACTCAGTGACGGACAAATCGAGCTTCGAGAAGGCATCAGAGCTCCGCATCCAGCTGCGTCGAGCCAGGCAGTCGGAGAACATTCCCATCATCCTTGTTGGCAACAAAAGTGACTTGGTGCGGTCCAGAGAGGTGTCAGTTGATGGTGAGTTAGTGTATTTAATCAGTGAGATCAACATAAGGAATAGAAAACCAACATGAGAGCCAAGGAAATAATTTGTGGTCTTGAATATTGCACCTCTAAATCTTTTTTTCTGTTTGTTTTGTTTTCCTCTCCTTCGTCGGGCTACAGAGGGAAGCGCCTGTGCCGTGGTGTTTGACTGCAAGTTCATCGAGACGTCTGCATCGCTTCACCACAACGTGCATGCCTTGTTCGAGGGCATCGTCAGACAGATCCGTCTGAGGAAAGACAGCAAAGAGGAAAACGCGAGGCGCATGGCCAACTGCAGGCGCAGAGAGAGCATCAGCAAGAAGGCCAAACGCTTTCTGGGTCGCATGGTCGCACGCAAAAACAAAAAGATGGCCTTCAGGCAGAAGTCCAAGTCATGTCATGACCTTACGGTTCTCTGAGTAACACATAGGATAGAGAGACTAATTTATGTTCTTTTTTTTTTTTTTTCCTTTTTCCTTTGGCCTCTGAAGACCTGATCCTGTGTGTGTTTTAACACTGATCCTAAAGGACTAATAGAGCTGTACAGAATATATTTTTGTTTTTTCATGCACAAACCAAAAGCTAAGACAGGATGTGATTTGCAAAAAAAACAAAAAAACAAAAAACAAAAGACCGGTATTGTAAAATGATATCACAATAATGGTCACATCTTCTAAAGCTTTGCAAACATTTTACTTTACAGTCTGCCTTAAAAATGTTGCCATCATATAAGGATTCTTTTGTCTAAAAGATTTGATACCTTATTTCTAATCAGGTGCAAAGATGGTCTTGCTGTTTGGGTTGTTGTTGTGATCCATTGTTGAAGGGGATTGATGTGTATATACCATAAGTAGGCATAGTGCTGAATGCAACAAACATCTCATCATTATCAATGTCATCTGGGGTTCTAATATATACTTGAATGATGGTGCGCAGGTTCGTGCCTCGGTCAAGTTACTGAAGACTACTCTAAGTTTAGGTAAAACCTCTTTTATTCTGTATTGTTCCATGACATTGAATTCAGGTTGTGAATGTATGAGTAAAGCAATAAGTTAGTAATGTGAGCCTTGACATTGTTTGACTTTTTTTTGTTTACATTGATTTTCTTTTTCAATAAAATTGAAAAAAAAAAAAAGCCTTTTTCACGTCCTCTCATTATTACCATGACAACGTAAAACGCAAAATGCAACTAAGAAGAATTAGTTGTTTTGGGTGAGTTATCTGCTCATGAATATTTATTGATGCAATCAGTGGAACGGAATTTCTCCGGCTATTGGCTCTAAAGGAAGGAAATAATGTAGTTAAGTCAGTTTTTTTCCCCCTCGCCGTGTTAAACATTAATCTACCAAAAAGAGCACAAGTGTACAAATTTTCCACCCAATTCAAAGTTCTCTCACAGCTCTTAGAAGTAGGTATCGCAAGCATCACCAGGAGAAGGTAAGATTATCATTATTTGCTTTGTGTGTACGTTTGTAACATAAATGTTCATTCTGATTTAGTATCATCTGTTTTTGATATTCAGGTTTTTCTTTTTTCTAAATTCACTGTTCCGCTCTGGAGTTGGAGACTTTGACTAGGATATCCTTTTAGATGGTTGAGGACCATTATATCCATTAGATGTTTGTCAAACATTAAGCCATTGCTGAGTTATTCTTTGAATTCAGTTTAGCTTTGGCATGTACCAATGGTACTGTTTTTGTCTTTGTTGACCTTCCCCCTTGTAAACTGAGCTGTATTTTTGGGTATAAGGTTTAGAAAAATGCCACAATGAAAAACCAGTAACAAAGACAGTGTTGGTGTCAAGTTTTGGTAGTAAATGTGTCACATTCACAGGAACAGATGGCGGACGGGAAAGTCCCACCAATGCTCCTCGCAGTCCTTTTAGTAAGTTTATTTTTTTCTGTTTTTTACATGCTTTTGTTGGTTGTTTGTACACAGAAACTAAATATGTGGGGAAAAAAAATATTAGTAATACACTTATTATCCTATTTCATAGCTTTCAGGGCTTCACACATTTGCACCGTGCTCAGGGGCAAATGTCAAAATTGGTGTTCCTGAAAACTACGATGGCATTTTCCCGTGGTATCTAGCTAAGGTAAGGCCCCCATAATTTTCTTGAAGTTCACTTTTTTAATAAATACAAATGAAAGCATCAGATAGCAAAAAACTGAAATCGAAAATTAAGCCCCTAAAAATTCCCCATTCTTAAAAAAAACGCGCTGTACCAATGAAATCTGGGTTGCAAGATAAGAAAAAATACTAATTTCTTTTCTTTTCTTGTTTACAATTTCATCATTGCATAATGAAAGACCACTATTTCTCCAATGAAAGAAAATGAAGGTGGATAGTGAGTCAAAATAGCATCCGCGTCCCTTTTATTTCTATCCTTTTTTTTCTGCACTCAAGGTTGAAGATGCACGAACATGCTGGCGTCATCGCTCTTCCATAATTGGCATGTTCACAGTGCTTTTCTGGCACCCGACCCAGCCTCTGCTTTTAGTCCAGCTGGGTGGCAGGTGGAGTGTTTTATTCATACGTGTCACTCAGACATCTTCTGGATTGCTCAGCTTCACGAGTGCATGCATGGCTCATCGATTGGCTTTACAGCGGTGCCATTTTGCCCTACGTAATAAAATATCCACTCCTTTCTTTTTTTTTTTTTTTTTGCAAGACTTTCATTAACATGACATGCTCAGCGCTTTTCTTGGGGGAATAATAACCATCCTTTGTGTTATAAATGGATTGGATAAAATAATTGCTTCAGATTTGCTCAAGGTAAAAAACCCTTTCATTCAGCTCCATTCGTCACAGAGTGGCCCACTCGTCTGTTCGCCTATTTAGACGTCTTCCATGATTCATTTTGCAAACCTTACTCGAGACCACGGCTGATGTCCTTTACAAATCATAAAGGGTGCTGTGAATAAATACTTTCGGGGCTGATTTATTTTCGCTTTGGCCTTCCATCTGTTTTCCATACTTGTTTTGTCATGGTCAGGGTTGCACGAGGCTGGAACGTATCCAACAAAAGAGGCAGAGCAGATCCTGCGCAGGTCACCACCAGCCCATCTCAGGATTAACTGGGACCGACACGCATGCTTTTGATATTTGGAATCACCGCACACATGTCTACAGGCTCTTGAAAAATACCTCACATCCCCAGAACAAGTTTATGTTTCCTTACGTTAAGAGCACAAACATGTCTGTATGTTGTTGGGATTTTTTTGTGATAGTCCAGCGCAAAGTAATGTACATAATATGAGAATGTAAAATGATTACTTGATTTTCTGTCTTAATGAAAATGTAATTCATAAAGAGAAAGTAAAATATTTCATACCTGCTCAAAAACCTATGGAAAAATCTTTAATGGCATTATAGCAATTACATCCATTTTATAAATGCCTGCTAGCTTTTTGCATGTTTCCACAGATATTTTGACTATTTAATTGTGGTGATGAGCTCCAAGGTTTTGAGGTTGGAAAGCCTCCTTGCAGCCACCCTAATCTTTAACTATGGCCACAGATTATCTACCAGATACATGAATATAACACACATTGCATTTAACAAGGGTAACATTAACTTTAGGCTTTGGGCTTATGTGTACATTTCAAAAGCTTTGTATTTCCTCACTGTAAAATAAAATATGTCAGCCTTTGGCCAGTTTTGCTTGTTTTTATCCCTCTTAACAGCGGCATAAACTCATGTTTCTCTTCTCTCTCTTTTTCATTGCAGCTTCACAACCTGCCAAGTAATTATTCTGACCTGGTGTTAACTGGAGACGACGAGGGCATATTTGGAGTAGATGCCCAGTTTCTGTATGCAATAAAACCACTGGACAGAGAGAAACAACCATCTTACTCGCTGCAGGTTCTACACTATATTGTCACGTTTCTGTTTTCCGTAGACTCCAAATTTTAGATCTCTTAAGATTCAAGAGATATCAGATTCAGCAGCTTGACACATCTATGTTAAATTGCATCCATCTTGTGTCTAGTGTTGCAGAAGGGTTTAAAATCTCTGCTTCGATTGTGAGCAACTGTGAGTCATGCTGAAACAAAGCACGCTGAGTTCAGGGTGAGGGTTTCTACCCTGCAGGTGTCCTTCAAACCATCAGGCGTCATTCAGAACATCAGATCATCAGCTCATCGGCAGACGTTCACTGTGGAAGTGTTTGTCATTGACAAGAACGACAATGTGCCCACCTTCATTGAAGAGAGCATGAGAGGCAGCGTTCAGCTCGGGCTTCTCAAAGGTATCTGTCAGTCTGCCCCAGGGCACCTGTGGCTACAATGTACTAGCTTGCTGCCATTAGTGTGTGAATGTGTATATTCACACACTAATGGCACTTATATTTATTTGGATGTATTTCTTCAGGGAGGCAGCTAAAGTACACAACAACAGCTAAATCATAGTAAAGTATATGCATCATATAAATGTAAAACAATATTTTTTTTTTCTGTAAATTTAATGTTACTCAATGAATACTTGTAACCATTAGCCTCAAGGTTACACAGCACTAAGGTTTGATTGCATCAAAGATCTTTTAGCACATTGGCATACAGGAGCTGGCACTGCAGTCACATTAATATCAGCTATTAGAAAGTAAATTCATTCTATAACCCTGTAAAGAGATAAATAAATGTAATCCCCTTTGTATATATGTATATGCTAAACTGTGTCGTTTTTAAACAAGTAATATTTGTATCCAATAATAATCACCTATACCTGTCATACAAAATATACAAATATACCCATTGGTTGTTTTAGTTGTTCTTCAACTTCCTCTGTTGTCTCTGCATTCTCTTTGTCTATTAGGCATCCCATTCATGCGAGTGGAAGCGGTCGATCGCGATGACCGTAACACTGCTCACGCTGAGCTGCGGTTCAGCATGATGGAGCAAACTCCCAGGATTCCCTCCAGTCAAATGTTCTTCATTGACTCCATAACTGGAGAGGTTTCCCTCACCGAGGAAGGTCAGTTGATGTAGTTACATAACATACCATCACCTGTAATTGGCAAAGAAGAAGTCTAATTTACTACTACTAATAATAATAATAATAACAATAAAACTAATAATAACAATAGTATCCCAAAGATTAGAATGTCAGGAAGTAAAGAAATCATTAGTCGCAAAAACAATTATAATGCAAAACATTTCCTCACTTTCTACCGATCCAAAACTTAGGGAAACAAATTCAGACAAACAAATTTTGTGAAACACTTTAAATATCTCTTCAGATCTTTGCAGCAGCTACTATTCAGCTGCAGATTGCCATTTGTTTATTCTCTCTTGCAAGATTTCATCAAATGGATAACATGAAGGAGATAATTTTTTTACTCCTCATTTTCTTCTTGATTGACCTCACGTTCAACACAGTGCATGTTTTTTTTAACACTGTTGTGTTGAATCTTCTCATTACATCATTACTCAAATTACTATGAAAACATACTTGTATTAATCTATTTTCTTACATTGCTATATTATGGCTCCATTTTAATAAGGAAGTTAGTATGAACTCAGCGACTCTAAGGAGTTTGCTGAAACAGCTACTTTTCTAACTTAGCCTCAAAAGTGGGCTTTCTCCATGACAGATTCCTTTTTTTTTCCTAACAATGAAATATCTCCACGTGTATTGGGCTCTTCTGTATAAATAAA